ACTTGGCAATTTTAAGACTGGTGGACTTCAACTCCCAGAATTCTCCAGCCAGCCAGGGAGCTCCAAACTTGGCAATTCTGGGAGTTGAAGTCCACAAGTCTTAAAGTTGCCAAGTTTGGGGGCCCCTGAGGTAATGCCTGGTTTTTTTTGGGGGGGGGTCAGATTGATGGGTGAAGGGGTAGCCCCTCTAGAGGAGGAAAAGTTGTCAAGTTTGAGGACCCCTATTTTAGGGGTTCCATTGGAGGGCCCTGAGCAAAGGGGATGAGGGGCAGTCCCCCAACGCTGCCTGCTGGCTGCCAGTGCCTCTAAGTTGGAGGGCTGAGGAGACGCGCTGTCCCTGCCGGAAAGGATCAGGGCTGGCTCTAACCCTCTGGCCACAAGAGCAGACTCTGGGGGTCTCTCAAAGGCTGGAGGTGGCTACAAGGGGGAGATGGGTGGCACAAGAGGCCCCGAGCCAGCCGGGGCTGCCAGTCCTGTTGACTTAGCTCGTGTGGCCCTGCTAAAAGCCTCCCAGAGTCACCTCAAAGCAAGAAGGATGGCAAATCAATCTAATAAATAAATAGAATAATAAATAAAGGCCTTTTTCCACATCCACAGCTCGTTCTCTCCTTTCAGCAGCTTTGAAATAGTCTGAGTCTGGAGAGGCCCTCCAAAGACCATCAGGCCTGGCCTCCAAGCCTGGCTGGCAGCTCAGCAGGTTGCCATGGGGACTAAGGCATCCTTGCTGGCCATCCCACTTTCCAGTGGCAGAGCAGCAGTTCAGCTGGGGTGGGGGGAGGGAGGCTCACCTTCCCTTCCTCTGAATGCAGACCCTTCTGCAAAGCCCCCAGCCCACTCCCCTCCAGATCCTGGCTCATTTGGGTGCCTGCCCAGCCCCTGGAGGCTTTCTCCTTGTGCTTCTTTCTGGGGTTCAATCGAGCACCCGTGAGGGGGAGAATCCATGGGGGAATCAGAGAGGCTTCCATTTTGGGGTCAGGTCCCCCTTCCCTGCCAGAGGTGGTCCGAGCGGGTGTCCACCCCTTGCAGAGGTGGGGGGGAGGTCTTCCCTCTTTCCCCCAAATGCACCTGCCCAGTCGAGTTCCACATTGCCTTGGGATGCAACTGGCAGATGGGTTGCGCTTTGATCTCCACAGCTGCAGCTTTGGAGTGGGGGGGTTAGGGTGACTTTTTATGGCATCTGTGTGTGTGTGCGCGTTCACATTCTTGTGTTGTGCAAACACAGCTTGTTTGGTACGGTGGGGGAGTTCAGGGTATTGTGCAGTGCCTGCTAATTGGATGGGCAGACTGGCAAAGGTGGTCTGCAAACCCAGAGCAAAACCTGATCACCTCATCCTTTCCGGAAACGACATAAAGCAGAAGGAGGAAAGACCCCTCACATCCAGACCCCTCACATCCCGGACATAAACCGTTTCAACTCCTCCCTCAAAACGACGCTATAGAGCGCTGCACACCAGAACAATTAGACACAAGGACAGTTTTTCCTTGAATGCCATCACTCTGCTAAACAAATAATTCCCTCAACACTGTTCAACTATTTACAAAGCCTGCACTACTATTACTATTAATCTTCTCATCACTCCTTATCATCATCCCCTCCCACTTGTGACTGTATGACTGTAACTTTGTCACTTGTATCCTTACGATTTATATTCACTGTTTCCTAGTATAATTTGATGGCTTATTGTACCCTATGACTATCATTAAGCGTTGCACCTTATGATTTTGGACGAATGTATCTTTTCTTTTATGTGCACTGAGAGCATTTGCACCAAGACAAATTCCTTGTGTGTTGAATCACACTTGGCCAATAAGGAATTCTATTCTATTCTATTCTATTCTATTCTATTCTATTCTATTCTATTCTATTCTATTCTATTATATTCTGTTCTATTCTATTCTGTTCTACTCCTATTCTATTCTATTCTATTTTATTCTATTCTATTCTATTCTATTCTATTCACTGTTTCCTAGTATAATTTGATTGCTTATTGTACCCTATGACTATCATTAAGCGTTGCACCTTATGATTTTGGACGAATGTATCTTTTCTTTTATGCGCACTGAGAGCATTTGCACCAAGACAAATTCCTTGTGTGTTGAATCACACTTGGCCAATGAAGAATTCTATTCTGTTCTGTTCTGTCCTGTCCTGTCCTATTCTATTCTGTTCTAGGGAGTGGACACACACACACACACCTCAGACACACATACACACTCTTTGCCACTGAGCTCCAGAGGGAGAGCAGGACAGCCATTCCTCCCCTTGTATGCAGCTTGGATGACTTGATCCACCTCCTGGTGGGCACATAGAGCTGTTCCCCCTCACCCACAGTTCCATCAGCCCCCACCCCCTACCCCTTGCCTCATGATAGAGAGAGGCCTGGCCTCCCACCCACTCAAGGGCTAAAGCTGAAGAGTCACTTTGGTCCAGTAGTGAAGGCACCAGAGTAGAAAGCAGGAGATCCTGAGTTCTAGTCCTGCCTCTGGAATGAAAGCCGGCTGGGTGACTTTGAGCCTGTCGCACTGCTTCAGCCCAACCCGCCTCGCAAGGTTGTTGTTGTGGGAAAAAGAGAGGGGGAGGGAGTTGTATCTGATACGTTGGCCCCCTTACTTACTTACAAATTAAAAGCTGGAAGGGACCTTGTAGGTCCAACCCCCCACCCAAGCAGGAGACCATTTCTGACAGATGGCAGTCCAGTCTCTCCTCGAAAGCTTCTGGTGCCAACTTCCGAAGGCAACTTCTGTTCCGTTGGTTGGTTGCTCTCACTGTCAGAAAATTTCTCCTTATTTCCAGGTTGAATCTCTCCTTGTTCAGTTTCCATCCATTGTTCCTTGTCTGGCCTTCAGGTGCCTTGGGAAATAGCTTGACCCCACTTCTCCTCTCTGTGGCAGCCCCTCAAATATTGGAAGATGCTCTCCTGTCTCCCCTGGTTCTTCTCTTCACTACACTAGACGTGCCCAGTTCCTGTAACCGTTCATCGTATCTTTTAGCCTCCAGTTCCCTAAATCATCTTGGTTGCTCTTCTCTGCATTTTTTCTAGAGCCTCAACATCATTTTTACAGTGTGGTGACCAAAACTGGATGCAGTCCTCTAGGTGTGGTCTTACTAAGGCTTTATAGAGTGGTATTAGTACCTCCCCTGATCTTGATTGTATCCCTCTGTTAATGCAATTTGAGATTGCATTGGCTTTTTTGGCTGCCGCTGCACATGGCTGGCTCCTATTTCGCTGGTTGTCCACTCAGACTCCAAGATCCCTCTCACAGTTACCGCTATTAAGCCTGGTTTCACCCAGTCTGTGTGTGTACTTTTGGTTTTTCTTGCCTAAGTGTAGGACTTTACTTTTCTCTACACTGAATTTCATTTTGTTAAATAGGGCCCATTGTTCATGTCTGTCAAGATCCATTGAGTTACTCTGTAAAAATAATAAAGGATGCAAAGAAATAAAGGCTTGAGAGGGCGGGGGGGTCTCTTCCACCACAATCAACAGAACCTCCCCCCCCCCCCAGAACAAGGATGGGCTGCAATATGCTAAACCCCATTTATTTGGCATTCACCCCGGGATGCAAGCTGACCTCTGAGGCCTCTGGCCCAGAATAACCACTCGTTCTCCAAATAGCCAGTCATTTTCTTTTCTGTAAACTAGACTTTATTACAGTACAAAAATACCAAAAATAAAAAAATAAATTAAGTTGCAGGTTTACAGCTTCATAAAAAGTCAGCTAGTCCTACGTAAATAAATAAGTGTAATGGAGCTATTTACAAGAATCCTAGAGTAAGCGAAAGAGGCACCATTTTCCTGAGATTCCAGAGTAACACCAAGGACCCACATCTCTCCTCCTCCTCTTCCTCCTCCTCCTCCTCTTCCTCCCTTCGAAACCCGGCAGCAAAATCCGGTGGGCAGGCCGGCCTTGAACCAAGCAGCACAGCACAGCAGCGAAGCCAGAGAGTTTTAAACGACGTCACGGACTTGTGGCCCTCCGTCTTCCTGGCCAAGTGGGAGCGGAGCTTTCATGTGGATGGCAATCAATGATGGGGAAGGGGCACAGACCCCCCCCCATGGCTTGCTTCCTGACAACAGGGGCTCCAAGTTCCCCCCCACTCGGGAGTGCTGGCTCCACACGGCCCTTTCTCGCCCCCCAGCCGCACGGCGGCAGCCATTCCAGCTGTCTGGGAGGGGCACCTGACAGGGAGGAGGCCGGGCAAATGCAGGGGTCTGGCAACAGGCCTAAAGACCCCCACACCCCCCCACACACACTCTTCATGACTCCCTTTGGTACAGAGAGGCCGGGCCTGCCCCACCCAAAGGCCAAGGCCACCCCAGAGCTGAAGGGTTCAAGGCAGGGCTGAGGACCTGCCCAGCCCAGAGCCAGAAAGCTTTCCCTCAGTGACAGACGGGGCATAGGACGCAGGCCTGGTTCCCTTTCTGTATTAAACCTCCCCCCCTCCCAATTGGTGGGCAGGCAAGAATCTCCCCTCCCCTCCCCAAGGTCCAGGACAGTCTGAGGGGTGTATGTGTGTATGTGTGCGCGCGTGTGTGTAGATTGATTAAATTAAAACAGGGAAACCCCTCAAGAGAAGCACAGCTGTATGCCACCATTGGGAGGCAGGCAGGGGGCCGTCAGGGGTCCCAGGAAGGGATCCACTGGATCTTATCACCGTTGGAGACTCCAAGCCAGAGAGGAGAAGGGGGCTCATCTGCAGCTTCTGAGGCAGAACAAGGGCCAGGCCGGATACCAGACCTGGAGCGAGGGGGGGGGGGGGAGGCCGAGAGGCTTCCAGGTGGCGGCTGAGCTGACCCAGGACCCCTTCGGCTGCAGCCGGGCAACTGGAAACGGTGTTCTTTGCCCCCATCCCCATAGAACCAGGCAGGGCCTTCCGATCCAAGTCTCCACCTGCGGTGGCTGGCTGATTTCTTCCAGGGGGGCAGGCCCCCCCACCCCACCCCGACAGGCCTGGCTTGCAAAGAGCGGTGGGGGGCGGTGGGGGGCAGGAGGCAGGGCTAAAGGTCCACATTGAGTTCCTCCTCCTGCCTGTCGCTATCCTGCCCGTCCAGCAGGCCAGGGGGGGCCGTCCGCACGGCCCCAAACTGCGAGGAGAGCTTGGCCGCCTTCTGCTCCAGGCTCTGCTTACGCCATTTGATTCTGCGGTTCTGGAACCAGACCTTGACCTGGAATGAGAGCGGGGGGGGGGGGGGAGCCCTGAAACCCAAGCATTTCCAAGCCCGGCTGGGAGGCCACGTCTGGAATGCCCACAGATGCCCCGCTTTTCCTTGAAAGGAGCCACAAAGTGTGCTTCTAGACCTCACCGAGGAAAGGAAGCCTGAGGATGGGAACAGAACATTGGTGTCCAGGTCCAGATACGGCTCTGGGGATAGAGGGAGCCGCTCGGGTTTTCTTCACAGGACTTTGAACCCCCATCAAAGAGACATTATTCGGCCCAATTCCCCTGAATTTACCGTATTTATGTCATTTATCCTATTTGTATTAAAAAGTGCCTCTGGCCAGGGTTCCTCTCCAGGCCAGCAAGAGACAGGGAGAAAATAGATCCCAGGTTTTGAGAGAAGACTCTGCATTCACCCTCCCACTGAATTTATGCTGATGAGCAGGGCTGTACTTTTTACCCTGCGGGAAGCCAAGTATGAACAGCCTCACACAGCCATTCCTTCCAATAACTTTTCTGCCGCTCAGTTGCTGTATCTAGACCAGTAAATCAGAACTGAAACTGTTGCTGTATCTAGACCAGTAAATCAGAACCACACCAACATCAGAAGCTCTGCAGGTCGCACCAAGTGCTTCGTTTGTTCTGCCATTTTTATTATTTATTTCCAACCTCAGAAGAAAAAGAAAAAAGAAAAAAACAGGCCTGGCCATCAGCTTTGACAAGCAGCCTTCAGTCTTAAATACAGGGGTCCCCAAACTTGACCACTTTAAGACTTGTGGACTTCAACTCCCAGCTGGCTGAGGAATTCTGGGAGTTGAAGTCCACAAGTCTTAAAGGTGCCAAGTTTGGGGACCCCTGCTTCAGGGCCACAACATGGCTGTTGTGCTGGCTGGGGAATTCTGGGAGTTGAAGTCCACAAGTCTTAAAGTGGCCAAGTTTGGGGACCCCCTGCTTCAGGGCCACAACATGGTTGTTGTGCTGGCTGGGGAATTCTGGGAGTTGAAGTCCACAAGTCTTAAAGGTGCCAAGTTTGGAGAGCCCTGGTCTAAAAATTAAAAGGTCTAAAGAGGGAGCCCTCGATAGCTGGTTGGCCAACAGAGGCGGAGTAGCAGTCCCGTTTCCAAGCCAGAGATGCCCCCCCACACACACACACCCTTATCAGCTGCTGGAGGCTCCTGACACTTTATGGCTACCACTTTCAGGGGCCACCTCGCTTCCTCCGGAGAGACCTCTGGAAGTGTCCCCTCTCCTTCAGAGAGATAATGTTCTATGGCGTGCCCCCCGCAACAAAGGTTACTTCTCCAGGCCCTTCCCATGCCCCGAGGGGAGGTGGGGGCCTTCCTACCTGGGTCTCTGTGAGCTGCAGGGTGGCTGCCAGGTCCAGGCGCTCCGAGCCCACCAGGTACTGTTGTTTCAGGAACTCCTCCTCCAGCCGTTCCAGCTGCTCCGGGGTGAACACGGTGCGGACTCGCTTCAGCTTGCAGGAACCTCCGGGTCTCCAGGGAAGGGGCGGCCCCAGGGAGCCCGTGCAGCGCGGGAATTCCAGGCCTGCAATTGCGAAGAGGAGCCGGGGAGTGAGCAGCAGCCAGGAGGGAAAGCGGATTTGCACACACACACACCCGTGCCCCGCAATAGCGTCTCCTGGAGTCCTCCTTGCCCGGAGCCTCGGAGAACGGCTCGGCCAGCCCTTCCGGGAAAGGAAGCGCCCCGACGGCCTTTTGGGGAACTCCTCCCGGGTCCCAAAGGCCGGATTTAGTTCGGTCGCGTTGCCTGCTGGATGCCGGATCAGAACCACCCTCCCCCCCCCACCCCTTTTCAGCATCCGTCAGTCACAAAACCTGCCCGCGGGAGAGGCGCGGCTGAGCCCGATCCAGACGCCTCTGCCTGGACGGCTCCCCCGTTTTGAAGGGGCAGAAGGAGCGCGCTCGGTCAAGTATAAGCCGTGGAGCCTCCAAGTCTACCCGCAGTCTACCTCGCGGGCCCAGGAACGAACTCGATGGACGGGGCCACGGGTTGCCCCCCCCCCCGCCGCCGCCCCCCATTCCGCGCGCAGACCGGGCAGGCGGCTTCCTCACCTGGCCTCTTGCAGGCGGGCGCGGAGCACCGGCAGGCCGGGGCCGAGAGGAAGGGCTGCTGCGCGGCCAGGTACAGGGCCGGGAAGCGCAGCGTCGCCGCCACGCAGCCGAAGTGCAACGCGGGCGAGGAAGAGGCGACGGCGGCCGTCCAGGTGCCGGGAACCGGCGACTCCCGACGGGGCGGCTCCGACTTGGCTAACAGCGACTCGATGTCGAAGCGGCTCCTGGCCTTGGACGGCGGCGGCGGCGGCGGCTGGGACCGGCAAGGCAGCGCGAGCGGCGGCGGCTGGGAGGCGGCGGGGTCCGACAGTGGGCTGCGCAGCATCCTCGGACGGGGCGCGGAGTCTGCGGCGGGGCGGGGGCGCGCGAGGGCCTTATAGAGCTGCGAGGCAGGTCCGCGCAAGGCCGGAGGGCGTGGCCCGGCCCGGACTGCCCAAAGGTGCGCGGCCACGGACCGCCCCGTGCAGAGGAAAGGCAGTCGGGCAGGGAATGCGGAGGGATGGAGCTGCCGGCTTTTCTCGGACGTGGCCCCTCGACTGGCGGGCTTGCCCAGCGTTGCTGGGAGGAGAAGGGCAGGACTGAAGGGCCGCGGCGGCTCCAGAGCCCGGGGGCTCCCGCGGGGGAAGGCTTCGAAGACGGCACTCCGAGTGCCAGCTTGAAGCGGTGCTCAAGCACTGGCGGTGCCCGGCGGAGAACCGTGGCTCCTTCCCTCTTTTCCTCCTCCCCGGCGCATTTGGCCTTGGGACCGGAGGACGCTGCTTGTTGGGGGGCGGGGGCTTGTGAATCGGGTTGAGCCCGGGAGGCTTCCCTAGTCTCGGTGCAACACAAAGTCATTCGATCTATCCATTTTTCACTGATTTTCAGCGTTATGGATGGATTCTGAATCCTTTCCGTTTGGACTCCGGCCTCTCCCCCCCCCCTTCAGCCAGTGCCAACAAAGGCAGGTGGCCCAGGTGCCTCTCCAGGGGAGGAGGGGGCCACTCCTGAAAAAGCCTTTTGGCCCAGAGTGGGGCCTCGGTGGCCCAATCTTGATGAGGGTGCAGGATTCCTAGATGAAAAGAGGCGCCTGCTCCTTGAGTGAACTCTCTCACCTGTTGATTTCCACATAAAATGGGAAGGTGAGGTTTTCCAGCTTCCCTGCCTAGCCTACAACCCTGGGATCTCCTAGTGGTCTCCAGTCCTGCCTAGCTTTTCTGAGAACTGCCAGGGTCTGCTGGTTGTGCGCAGCGTGGAGCCCACCCACCCTTACAGAAGTTGGAGGGCCAGCATGGCAGGAATGCCCCGCGAGGGTGTCAGTCTCACAAACTGCCTTCTGCCTGGCCTGGAGGGGATGTCCTTGTGTCCAGCCAAAGCAGGGGCTTTCTTTAGGCCCAGTCCGTCTGTGGTTAAGCTGGGAGCCTCTCTCCAGAGATTTGGGGGCTTCGGGACGGCAAGGACCCAAGGAGGAGGGCAGTGGGACAACCATCCTGGCAAGAGTCTCCTCTTTTCACAAACATCTGGTGTGTGTGTGGGGGGGGGGAATGTTTACCTCCCTCTGGAAGTGAGATGTAGGTGTTGCCAGTCCTTTCCTTTGCGGGGGGGGGGGGGGGGGGGCGGAGAAAGGGGGCACTGAAGGTGTGAAATTTCTCAGGGCTAAAGAAGTGAAATGAACCTGCAGGATGTCTTGTGCAAAAGGGGGGGGGAACCATAGGAGGGCCCCCTTTTTCTCAAAAGCCCGGCGGGAGAAGGATGGAGGAAGGAGTCCTTTGTGTGGAGCGGGGGACCGTAAAAGCCGTGCCCCCACCCCCCCACTCCAAAAGAAGGCCCCGTTCCATCTAATAGTCATTAGCATCAATTAGGAGCCTTTGAAGTGGCCCGGAGCTTTGTCCAGCCCGCAGAAAAAGGAACCCTCCTTTCGGGCAGCCCATAATAATCACATCTGCTTTCATCTCTTCGCAAGGTGCTTGGAATGTTAATGGGGGGCGCGGGGAGGGGGGAGGAAGAATGGAGAACCAGGAAATGCTTTTCCCTCCTGGAGACCTGGGGGGGTGGAGTGGGGGGGTGGGGACGACTCCAAAAGCTCCCCCCTCCCCACAGAGACGCCGTTCCTCCGCCGAGGGCGAGCTTAGAATCTCCGCTTTCCCACGCAGCCCACGAAATCAGCGCCGTGGCTAACGGGTCCCGAAAGGGCAGCGCAACCGCCTGTCCGGGCGCCGAGCCAGGTTGCCCGCAGCACCGGAACCAGCCGCCAAAGGCTGCCCCGCGACACCGCCCCCGCCCCGGGTTAGGGCAAGGGAGTCTGGCCAGCCTGCCAGGGCTTTCCCAGCGAAGAGCTCCGACTGAAGCGAGAGGATCGGTGGGGCGCTCGGGATTCCTCAAGTCCCGGAATCTAACCGGGGTGGCTTTGAACCATTTTCCCTCTGCCCGGCCTGCTTCACAGGGTTGTTGTTAGCATACAATTGGAGGGAAGGCCGCCTACCCCGCCTTGAGTTCTAGGGGCCAAATGGGGTTCTAACGACCAGGGAATAAAGATCCCAGCTGACCCCAGATCCAGCCATGGATCCCCCTGGAGCCGATTGCGATCATTGGGTCTCAGAGGATGTGGACAGACCGGATCCACTGATCTCATGAAATCAGGAGGTTCCCAATTTGGTTCGGCAATAGAGCCTTTTATCTTTTTTTTACTAAGTGTCTTACTTATTTACAGTAAGATAGGAAGTTGAATGTAAAAAAATGAATAAATAACTATTGCCATATTTACACGTAAAAGTGGTGACTGGGAAATATGTTGTCCACTAAAAAGAGCCTTTTTGTTTTGTAATTCATGTGAAATACTGAATAAAACTTGTTTTTTTAAAAAAAAAAGAGTTGGAGGGGATCTTGTAGGTCATCTAGTCCACCCCCACCCCCACCCCGCCCAAGCAAGAGACCCTACACTATTTCTTCAATAAACTGTTTATCAAGCCACAATTTGGGTTGCTTTTCAACTGTGGTTTGGTTTCTACCTGCCTCCTGCATATGGTTTTCCTCTGCGTTAAGCCACTTTCCGGCTGGGTTTTAAGCGACCAGGTTATCCAAGATGCTTGGTAGTGCACAAGACAGGAGGATGGGTGCGTTCTGGCTGAGGAGATGGGATCAGCATGCTGGGACCACCTTCCCAAAGTGGGGGAGGCCTTCCTTTGGGGCCAGCCAGGAGAGCTCTGGGCCAGCAGCGTGGCCTCTGCGGAGGGCTGAGTTGGAGGTCCAGTGCGTGGAGAAAAGTGGTGCCTTCTGCCCACTGGCTGGCACCTCTTCTCCTTGGGGGAGACAGAGGGGGTGCTTGGGAGTGAAAGGCCAAAGCCTCAGCCAAGCCACAGACCCCTGAAAGCTCCCCGTTGGGAACTTCAGGTTTGCAGGGCTTTGGCGACAGGCAGGAATCCACGATCGTGCGCGGTTTCTGCCTGGGCTCGCCGCTGGAGCGCCCCGAGCCATCTGGCTTCGGGGCTAAGGCACCCCGTGGAGGTGGTCAAGAGGGGGGAGATTCCAGCAGGGTCGAGGAAAGCCGCATCTTTCCTCCTCAGCTGGCTAAACTCCCTTTCCCGAAGGCGGTAAGAGCGGCGGTCCAAAATGGCCGCCTCAAAGAAGCCTTCATCCGGAAAAGAAAGTGCAAGAGGAAGTTAAGAAGTAAAAGTTTGGGCTGACCGGGATAAGAAGCAACGACTAAGGTATCCTGGAATTTAAATTTCAAAAAGAAACCTCCCGGTTGGTCCACTTTACCCAGCAAGAAGAGACTGGACTACCATCTGTCAGAAATGGTGTAGGGTCTCCTGCTTGGGCGTGGGGCGTGGGGTTGGACTAGATGACCTACAAGGTCCCTTCCAACTCTTAATCTGTAAGCAAGTAAGGAAGCAGCCCAGGAAGAGGAATGCTTCACAAGACACACACACACACACACACACACACACGAAGGTGGGGGCCACCAAGAGAGCACCTGGCATAGCTGGGGACCCTAAGGCTGAACACTGATCGGCCTCTCCTGCCAGGGGGGAAGAAAGGAAAGTGCTACTCACAACCACCAAGAGTAGGCCTCACACACACACACACCCAGCGCCCAGGTGGCCCTTGGGGATAGCAGCTCCCACTTGCCCCCAAGCATGTCCAGAGAGGCCCCAGTGATGTTTGCCGCTTTGGGTGGGGGGGGCTCCTCTCTTGATCCAAGAACCGTGTGGTCTGCACCCCCAGATTTTTTCCACTGGAGAGTTAGCCAAAGGAGGCAGTGCAGTGGGCCTCAAACTTGGCCACTTTAAGACTTGTGGACTTCAACTCCCAGAATTCTCCAGCTCAGCTGGCTGGAGAATTCTGGGAGTTGAAGTCCACAAGTCTTAAAGTGGTCGAGTTTGGGGAACCCTGAGGTAGTGCCTGGTTTTTTGGGAGGGTCAGATTGATGGGTGAGGGGGTAGCCCCTCTAGAGGAGGAGAAAGCAGCCTTGAGTTCTGCGGGAGAAGGAACGATCTGACTTCCCTGACCTCCAAGGCCGGCTGTCTTTGGGCCAGAAGACCGTGTGTGTGTGTGAGAGAGGAATGGCTGCCATCTTGCTGCCAAAGGGAGCCCTTCCAAGAACCAGGAGAGCATCGGGAGGGGGTTCCCCCCCCCGCCCCAATTGCCCTACCTTGGTGTATTAAGTTGCATTTCCCCTTCTGCATTCCCCACCATTGTGGGGGGGAGTGGAGGGGAGAGGAATCTTCCTGCAGCACCAGAAAAGGATTTAGGAGGGCTAACAGAATCCACTTGGGGTGTATTTTGACGCTGCTTTTGTTTCTTCGTGTTGATCTTTTAAATGATCTGTTTTAATCCTCGTTACAGTCAGGCGTCATTCATTCATTGAAAAAAAAATGGATGGGATTGATTGGTTATGCTACCTTCTTCCCCCAGGATGCTTATCCGGCTTGTAAAGAAAACTGAAATTCTACAGGCCACTCAAAGTGTATGTGTGTGTGTGTGTGTGTGTGTGTGAGAGAGAGAGAGGTGTCTCCATGCCCCGGAGGGCAGCAATTAGCATGGACAATGACCTTCATCATCAAGCCTGGGCTTGCCCATCTTTGTGGATTGCCATGTCTGGGCCTACAGGGCTGCAAGCCGATGCCTCCCCTCCCCCACAGGCCTGCATCACCCTCCCCAAAATTTGGCTACCATTCCTCCTCCCACACCCTTCCTGCTTATGGTGGCTCTTCTGAAAGTGGCCTGCAGAAGCCGGCCTCCAGCCCCACCACCGACCCCAGCTTCTCCGTGGCTGCAGGTCCCTTCCCCATTTGGGAGGGGGTCCGGTCGGGGGCTATAGAAAAGAAAATTGTTTCATCCATGCCCTGC